AAATTCATGAACAGAGGTTACTCTCTCTCTCTCTCTCTATATATATATATATATATATATATATATATATATATATATATATATACCGGGTGTCCATAAAGTACGTGTGCACTTTAAAAAATTTATAACTTTATTTGTATTTGCGATAGAAATAATCTTTTTAAGAACAAGAAATAAAAAACAAACTAAACATAAATAGAACGAAAGAAAGACAAAAAGAAAACAGACAAAAAAGACAGAAAGAAAACGAAGCAAAAAAAAAGAAGGAAGGATAAAAGGAAAGAACAAGAAACAGAAACAAACTAAACAGAAAGAAAAGAGAAAGAAAAAAAGAAAGAGAAAAAGAAAGAAAAAACGAAGGAAGGAAAGGAAAGAGGGTAAAAGGAAAAAGCAAGAGATAGAAACAAACTATAAATAATGAAAAAAAGAAAGCAGACTAGAAAGAAAAAAAGAAAGAAAGAAAAAAGAAAGAAAGAAAGAAAAAAAGAAAGAAAGAAAGAAAAAAGAAAAAAGAAAGAAAGAAAAAAAAAAAAGAAAAAAGAAAAAAAAAGAAAGAAAAAAGAAAGAAAGAAAAAAGAAAGAAAGAAAAAAAGAAAGAAAAAAGAAAGAAAGAAAGAAAAAGAAAGAAAGAAAGAAAGAAAAAAGAAAGAAAAAAGAAAGAAAGAAAGAAAGAAAAAAAAGAAAGAAAGAAAAAAGAAAGAAAAAAAAAAGAAAGAAAGAAAGAAAAAAAAAGAAAGAAAAAAGAAAGAAAGGAAAAAAAGAAAGAAAGAAAAAAAGAAAGAAAAAAGAAAGAAAAAAAGAAAGAAAGAGAAAAAGAAAGAAAAAGAAAGAAAGAAAGAAAGAAAGAAAGGAAAATTGAGATACAAAATTAAAACTGACTTGAAAACATGAACAAAATAAATAAAAGAAGAAAAATGACACATAGTACCGAAAATAAAATTATTAATTTTTTTTCAAAAATCCGAAAAAAGAGAAGTGAACGAATGCAGCTTAGATAACGCAGAAGGCCGAGTGATTTTCCAAGCGTAATCTCAGATGTAGCTCAAGGCCGAAAGTATGGGACACCCAGTGAGGTCGAAATCACTACTCAGTCGTAAATTGTTCTAGCGAGACAAGCTTGCTAACGATTACATCACCTCGAGGTGCCCAAAGAGAATGAATATATAATGATATCTTGCAAAAAGAAGGCAAATTGAAAGGTCTAAAGTGAAAGAAGCGAAAACAAAACTGCAGCTTTTGAAGAGATAAAAAAAAAAATATTTGACGAAAAGCAAAAATAAGAAAATATAACATGAAAGCAAAACAAAAACAAGAGTTAAGAAGAAAAAAAAGGGAAAATAAAACAATCTGGCAAACGATACAAGAGTCAATTTAAATGCAAAAAAAAAATATCTTCTTCTAGAAAAGCTTGCAAGCATAGTTGCTTTCTGAATATACATTATATACAATGTATTTTTATAGTAAACCCATTAATAATACACACACACATACATACATACATATATATATATATTTTTTTTTTTTTTGAACAATAAAAAAATATTAAAAAATTAAAATGTTTAGACCCAGTGGGTTGTAGATTAATATTCTTTTGTTTTTTTTATTATTATTTCATTTAGATTCCTCGACTAGTTTCGACCAAAATGGCCATCATCGGGAGGAGAAATATTAAACTACAGAAATCAGAATATATATATATATTATAGTGTGCAGATTACATATTTATAGGTCTACCATTCACCCGTCGCTTGAATTTTACTACCACATTTGTTTTACCCCACAGATGCACAGGTATATATATATATATATATATATATATATATATATATATATATATATATATTTGGTTTATGAAAAGCTAGTTAATCCGTATGGGTAACCCTAAGGAGGATAAAATCCAGAGAGCTATTTTCATTTTTGTTTTGAAGTAAAGTCTGATGATATATATATATATATATATATATATATATATATATATATATAGTTCACTGCTACTAGGAAGCAGAATTTTTTTTCTCCTGATGATCGGCATGTTGGCTGAAACTAGTCGATGAATCTAAATGAAAAAATAATAAAATCGAAAGAATATTAATATACAACACAGTGTGACAAAATATTTTAATTTTTTAATATTTTTTATTGTTCAATATATATATATATATATATATATATATATATATATATATATATATATATATATATATATATATATATATATATATATATATATTTTAGTGTGACGATTACGTATTATATTATAAAAAGTAATTATACAAATAATTAATTAGCAATGTTAATGTGATTAATGGCGAAATCACTTCGCTAACAAGACTTAATAAAATTATGAGTTTGTGACAAACTGATATCACAAATTCATATCCATTCAATTATATATATATATATATATATATATGTGTGTGTGTGTGTGTGTGTGCGTGTTTGTGTTTGTGTGTGTTTGTGTGTGTGTTTGTGTGTGTGTGATTTATATTCTATGTGAACTGTTTGCATTCATTCCTAACAACTGACAATACCTGATTTCAACTTTTTTTTTTTACTTTTTCTTTTTTAAAGCAATTCACCCCCAAGCAAGACAGGAGTGCCACTAGCACGCAAGGGGTGACAGAGGATTGGGAACAAGATTAAAGAGGTGTCTTTGAGGAGAGGATACAAAGAAAGACGGGGAACAAGTTCAGGGTATCAGATGTCGATTGGCATTACACTTGAATATTTGAAGATTATAGTTATTGGGGAAGCAATGTAGGGGAAGGGAGTTCCACAGATGAGAAGTGCGAGAGAAGAAGCTATTTGAGTAGATTTAAGTACATTTAAGCGTTTCGACAATGAAAGCGTTGGACCGAGATGCTTCCCTAGTATAGTAAGATTTTTAGCAATACTATTAATACAGTAGCCGTTTCTCTTGAATTCATTCGTAAACACTGACAATACATTTCTTCGTTATTTTTTTCCATTGATTTTTCTTGTAAAAACTTAAAAATACATTAAAAATACATTAAAATACATTAATACATTACATTACATTAAAATACATTACATTAAAATACATTAAAAAAATACATTAAAAATACATTAAAAATACATAAAAAATACATTAAAAATACATAAAAAAATACATTAAAAAATAAAATACATTACATTAAAATACATTAATACATTACATTACATTAAAATACATTACATTAAAATACAAAAAATACATTAAAAATACATTAAAAATACATTAAGAATACATAAATTACATAAAAATACATTAAAAATGCATAAAAAATACATTAAAAAATAAAATACATTACATTAAAATACATTAATACATCACATACGTTAAAAATACATTAAAATACATTACATTAAAATGCAAAAAGTACATTAAAAATACATTAAAAATACATTAAAACACATTAAAATACATAAAAATATATTAAAAATACATAGAAAGATACATTAAAAAATAAAATACATTACAATAAATATACATTAAAAATACATTAATAATAAACATATTTCTTTTTTTCTTTGTCTGAATTTTTTTGGACGACGACTTATCGTTATTTGCATGCGAAGTATTGTCCTCATCTTTGTTGCTGTTATCACAACGTTTCGGCCGTTGTGCCGTCCAGCCTTCATCAGGTGCTTGCTGATACGAGAAACCTCCAGAATTCAGGACAATATTTACATGCGAATTATTCTCCTCATCTTTGTTGTTATTACTATTTTTCGGCCGTTGTGCCGTCCAGCCTTCATCAGGTGTTTGTCGATTCAAAAAACCTTAGGAACGCAGGATAATATTTACATTCGAACTATTCTTCTCATCTTTGTTGTTGTTATCACAATGTTTTGGCCGTTGTGCCGTCCAGCCTTCATCAGGTGTTTGTCGATACGAGAAGCCTTCAGAACACAGAACAATATTTATATTCGAACTGTTTTCCTCATCTTTGTTGTTGTTATTACAATGTTTCGGCCGTTGTACCACACAGCCTTCATCAGGTATTTGTCGATTCAAAAAACCTTCAGAACACAGGATAATATTTACATTCGAACTATTGTCCTTATCTTTGTTGTTGTTATTGCAATGTTTCGGCCATTGTGCCGTCCAGCCTTCATCAGTTCACATAGAATATAAATCACACACACATAAACACACACACAAACACACACACACACACACACACATATATATATATATATATATATATATTATTATTATTATTATTATTATTATTCGTATATTTCTTAGACTTAGAGTTTGCGATGCTATCTTTTATTTATTTGTACGTCGGAGAATTGGAAAGTGAAATTACTTCATAAAGTAAGGAAAGAATTGGAAGTTAAGTTTTACGAAAGTAATATTACTGTCTAAATGAAGACAATGCAATTAATGGTGGATGTAAGATTTGTTAGCCGAAAGGAAAACAAAGAGAGAGAGAGAGAGAGAGAGAGAGAGTACTGAACTGTTATGTAATATCATTTCTCCTATATGGCAATGAATGCTGGACAATCTCATCACAGATGAAGAAGGGACTTGAAGCAACAGAAAGAAAGAAAAGAGAGCTGAACTGTTATGTAATATCAGTCCTCCTATATGGCAGTGAATGCTGGACAATCTCCTCACAGATGAAGAAAAGACTCGAAGCAACAGAAACAAAAGAAAGTGTACTGAACTGTTATGTAATATCAATCCTGGTATATGTCTGTTTGTAAAACAGTTCTAGTTGAACTAATCCTCTCCCTCCTTCAGATCTGGACATATACAGCCGATCAACATCAGCCTTAGGATGATACATGCGATGGCGAGTGAGAGGCTTTTATTATTATTATTATTATTATTATTATTATTATTTCTTAAGACTGAGAGATTGCGATGCTATTTTTTCTTTATTTTTACGTCGGAGAATTGGAAAGTGAAATTACTTCAGAAAGTAAGGAAAGAATTGGAAGTTAAGTTTTATGAAAGTAATATTACTGTCTAAATGAAGAGAATGCAATTAATGGTGGATGTAAGATTTGTTAGCTGAAAGGAAAGAAAAGAGAGAGAGAGAGAGCCGGCGAAGGAGAAGAATATTTAAGAGATGAACCACAAGAAGAAGAAAAAAGAAGTAGGAAGGAGGAAAAGAAGTAACGAAAGATGTCAAGTAAAAGGAAGAAACCGAACGAAGAAAAAAGAAGGAAGAGAAAGAAGAAGGCGAGTCAAACAGTGGAAAAGAATGAAATGTCGGGTATAAAGGAGTAGAGAAAGAGAGAATTTTAAAACAAGGAAGGCGAGGAAAAGAAAACCTCCAGAAGACAGGACAATATTTACATTTTAATTATTGTACCCAATAATTTGCTTACATAGTAATTGAGAGTTCAATCCTTGGGCCTGGCAGTGCGTGCTTGGAATCTGTGGAAGTGGGGTGAGCAAAAACTGAGCAGCACGAAATAAAAACTAGACAAGGTTTCCCAAGAACATTCAACAGAACGAGAACAATCTACCTCCGTAGATTAAATAAAGGGTTCAATTTAAACTTCCCTATAGGTTACGCAGATTGATACACACCTGACGAAGGCCCAATAGAGTAACTGCCGAAACGTTGTGATGATGATAATAAAGATAAGGACAAATGTTCGAAAAATAATAGTTTAACTCTTCATTGTAGAAAATTCAGACAGAATTTAGATTATCATTTGACAAAAGTTTTGCTTTTATATATATATATATATATATATATATATATATATATATATATACACACATACAGACAGAGAGAGAGAGAGAGGGAGAAATTACATTTAGATTTTAAAATGGGTAATTTTTATTTTTAATTTTAATTTCAAATTTTATCATATAATTTAATACTTATTAGTTAGAATAAATTCTATTTTCGTTTAACCCAAACTTTAAAGCATTTAATAGCTATTATAACCTTACTTGGTTGTCAAGTTTTTTGAATTCTCTTATACTTCTATTTTGATTGGTCATTCTAGTTCATGTGACAGCGTTTCCCCTTGCCAGGGGTGATTAAATTAATTTGAACCTTTGAAAACCCTTTATTCTACATTCAACATTACCACTTGATAAGACACCAATGGCTATTTTTGTAAGGATTTTATAACATATATTTATTTTATAATTTTTTAAATAAATAATTATATATATATATATATATATATATATATATATATATATATATATATATATATATATATATATATATATATATAGTATAAAAACAATATATCAAGGAAATAACTCTTTTTTTTTCGAGAATAACCAAAGAGTTTGTGAATTAAATTCACGGAAAATTTTAATTTTCCAATGCAAAGCGATTCTGAAAGAACTGATTAATTATTGGCGGTTACAATCTGACAGAAATATGCAGATGACAGAGTGTTGATAGCAGAAACAAGTTAAACTAGAATTGGAAGTAGAGAAAGAGAGAATTTTAAAACTAGGATGAAAGGAAGGCGAGAAAAAGAAATAAGAAAAATAAAAAGTGGGTTTAAGAAAAACGTTGAAGACAAGAATGAAAGGAAGAAATTACCTTGAAAGGAAGAAAGAAGAGTAGAAGAAAAAGAAAAGGAATGAAAGAAATGTAGAGGGAAAATAAAAGAAAGAAAGATACAAAGAAATGAGGAGGAAAATAAAAAAAAGAAAGAAAGAAAAGTAGACAAGAAAGAAAGATAAAAGAAAAGGAAAGAAAGAAATTTATAAAAGAAAGAAAGAAAGTACGTAAGAAAGAAAGAAAAATGAGTTGTAGCGTAAAAAGAAATGAAAGAGGAATGTGGAATAATGATGACTCATTTTTGTATGAAGGAATGAAGGAAAGAAGGAAGGATAGAAGAAAAGAGGGGAAATGAGGGAAGGATAAAGAGAAAAAGATAAGAGAAGAAGGGAAAGGAAGCAATTTAAAAAAAAAACAAAAAGTAGGAAAGCGAACGAAAAAAAACAAGGGAAAATATTAGAAAAAAAAAAGAAAAAAGGGAATAAAGTTAGAAAGACCATTGAAAAATGATTTAAAAAAAGAAAGAAAGAACGAAATTATTCGTAGGCAAAGAAAGAAGGAAATTGGTGATTATTAAAACATAAATTATTGATAAAGTAAAGAAAGGCAAATAATTCATTACAAGACAAAATGAAATGAGGTAAAAGATTTAAAATTAAGAAAACAAGACATAAAAGAAACAAAGAAAGGAAAAAAGAAATTTAAAAAAAGAACGAAACAAACAAAAGAAACAAAAGTAAAGAAACAAAAAGACAAAGAAAGGTAGAGAGAAAGAAAAAGAAACCCGCATGGAAAGAAAGAAAGAAAGAAAGAAAGAAAGAAAGAAAGAAAGAAAGATGGAGGGAACTGAAGAACGCAGGGTGTGAATAGAAGATACAAAGACATAAGGACAGAAAGAAAGAAAGAAAGAAAGAAAGAAAGAAAGAAAGAAAGAAAGAAAGAAAGAAAGATGGAGGGAACTGAAGAACGAAGGGTGTGAATAGAAGATACAAAGACATAAGGACAGAAAGAAAGAAAGAAAGAAAGAAAGAAAGAAAGAAAGAAAGAAAGAAAGGGAGAGAAAGAAAATGAAACACATATAGAATGAAGGAGAAAGGGAGAAAAAGAAACAAAACAAGATAGAGAGACAGAGAAACAAAAGGGCATACATAGAGGAAGAAAGATAGAAAAAAGAAAAAGAAACACAAAGAAAAAATATTAGAAAGAGAGACTGAAAAAGAAACACATACTGAAAAAGAAAGAAAGAAATAAAAAGAAAGAATCATAAAAAGAAAGAGAGAGAGAAAGAAAACGAAACATATAGAAAGAAAGAAAAATGAAAGAAAAAAGGAAACACGTATAGAAAGAGAGAGAAACAAAAGGAAATACAGAAAGATAGATCAATAAAGAAAAATAGAGAGATGAACAAAGAAAAGAAACACATAGAGAAAGAAAGAAAGAAAGAAAGAAAAAGAAAAAGAAATGCATATACAAAGCAAGAAAACAAGAAAGAGAGAAAAAATATATTGAAAGAAGGAAAAGAAACAGAAGAAAGAAAGAAAGAAAGAAAAAGAAACATATATTGAAAAAGAGAAAGAGGAACAAAAAGAAACAAAGAAAGAGAGAGACAGAGAGATGAAGAAATAAAAAGAAACACGGAGAAAGAAAGAAAGAAAGAAATAGAATTACACATAGAAAGAAAGGTTGATTAAAAAAGAAAAAAAATAAAGAATGAGAGAGAACGAAAAAGAAACATCAAAAGAAAAAATGAAAGAAAAAGGAAATACGTAAAGAAAGAGAGAGAAACAAAAGAATACACAGAAAGATAGATAATGAAAAATAGAGAGATGAAGAAAGAAAAGGAAACACATAAAGAAAGAAAGAAAGAAAGAAAGAAAGAAAGAAAGAAAGAAAGAAAAAGAAAACATATACTGAAAGAAGAAAAAGAAACAGAAGAAAGAAAGATTGAATGAAAAAGAAACATATATTGAAAAGGAGAAAGAGAAACAAAAAGAGAGAGAGATAAATAGAGAGATGAAGAAAGAAAAAGAAACACGGATAAAGAAAGAAAGAAAGAAAGAAAGAAAGAAAGAAATAGAATTACACATAGAAAGAAAGGATGATTAAAAAAAGGAAAAAATAAAGAATTAGAGAGAACGAAAAAGGATCATCAAAAGAAAAAATGAAAGAAAAAGGAAACACTTATAGAAAGAGAGAGAAACCAAAGGAAACACGGAGAGAGATAATGAAAAATAGAGATGCAGAAAGAAAAAGAAACACATAAAAAAGAAAGAAAGATTGAAAGAAAAAGAAGAATATATTGAAAAAGAGAAAGAGAAACAAAAACGAAAGTTAGAGAGAGATAAATAGAGATGAAGAAAGAAAAAGAAACACATAGAGAAAGAAAGAAAAAGAAAACATATACTGAAAGAAGAAAAAGAAACAGAAGAAAGAAAGTTTGAATGAAAAAGAAACATATATTGAAAAAGAGAAAGAGAAACAAAAAAAGAGAGAGATAAATAGAGAGATGAAGAAAAAAAGAAACACGGAGAAAGAAAGAAAGAAAGAAAGAAAGAAAGAAAGAAATAGAATTAGACATAGAAAGAAAGGGTGATTAAAAAAGGAAAAAATAAAGAATGAGAGAGAACGAAAAAGGATCATCAAAAGAAAAAATGAAAGAAAAAGGAAACACTTAAAGAAAGAGAGAGAAACCAAAGAAAACACAGAAAGATAGAGAGATAATGAAAAACAGAGAGATGCAGAAAGAAAAAGAAACACATAAAAAGAAAGAAAGATTGAAAGAAAAAGAAGCATATATTGAAAAAGAGAAAGAGAAACAAAAACGAAAGTTAGAGAGAGATAAATAGAGAGATGAAGAAAGAAAAAGAAACACATAGAGAAAGAAAGAAAAAGAAAACATATACTGAAAGAAGAATAAGAAACAGAAGAAAGAAAGATTGAATGAAAAAGAAACATATATTGAAAAAGAGAAAGAGAAATAAAAACGAAAGTTAGAGAGAGGTAAATAGAGAGGTGATGAAAGAAAAAGAAACACGTAGAAAGTAAGAGAGAAAGAAAGAAATAAAAATACACATAGAAAGGCTGTTTAAAAAAAAAGGAAAAAAAACTAAAGAAAAACAGAGAACGAAAAAAGAAATATCAAAATAAAAAGAATGAGTTTATAGACTAAATATATATTTGAATGAATAAGTAATAAATCTAGTGAGAACTTTTTAAAGAAAAATTTTTAAATTCCAAAATTGAATGAGAATGGCAACATGCTAAATGTTAAAATGAATGATAAATAAATAAAAAAAAATAAGAAGAAAATGGCAATAAACCATTTGTTTGTCAGCGACGAAAAGAAAAAGTACAAAACTACTAAAAAATGGGAAAGAGAAGGAGGGAAAAAATTTACACCTGTTTAAATTCAATCAGTCGCTAGTTTTGTTAGGTAAAAGGTCGTATTTGTCAAGATTCCGTGGAAGCACGACGCCTTTTAGCTTTTACCAAATTGAATTCAACAAAGAATTACTCAGTCATTAAAGTTAAACTTACAGAGACTTACAATTTGTAATTGTTCAGTCCGTCAGCCTCAGGTGGGCTTTCATACTCTCTTCTAAACATTCACCTGTATTCGTTTATTCGCCACGAAAACGTCGTCCATTTTCTTTTTATTTATCCTATTTTAAAGTTTTTACTATTATTAATTTTTGATCAATTTTCCTCTCCCCTAATCAGGAGCGGCACATTCACCACAATTGTATTATTATTATTATTATTATTATTATTATTATTATTATTATTATTATTATTATTAAATATACAATTGTCTTAATCTGTCACTATTGTTTGCATTAATACCTAGAAATATTTCTCAATGCGATTGCATTATACATACACTATCCTTATTCTTCCTATATAGCCAAAGTAAACAATATATAACTCTCTTTTTTAAAATCAGGGAAATTATACCTTGTGCAAATTAGACAGTCAGTTTAAGACTCACTAGAGTGTCAGTGTGTAATAATATTTCCTCGGATAAGATCATTTTCAGTGGTGTGCAGTAATATAAATCTATCTTCGTACTGTACGATGAAATTTGTTTGGTTTTGAAAAATATTATGTCATCCGTGATTGCATCCAAATTTTATCACGCTCAGAAACTATTGTCTCGACTGTCGATTATTTGTCCTACGGCCATTTTCTGCAATGAACGTTACTACAAGGAAGAGTACAAAAATTATAACGCTGCCGAACACACTGGTAAGCCTTACCAATGAGCAAATCAAAGTAGTACTGACTGGCCCGAAAACACGGCTGATAAATCCAATCGAGAATCTGTAGTCAATCTAGAAGTAAAGACTTCGTGGAATGGACATACGAAGTACTAACATATGCATTGGGTCATATTTCATTGGAAAAATACGAAAAAAGTAAATAATAACGGAATTATTAGTTATGCTTAAATTAATTTGCATGAGGGTGTACATGCTATAATAACATTTTTGTCAATGCATTTACAATATATATATATATAATTCTATACGTATAATTGTATATGTATCATACTATTCTATAATAAAATTGCTGCCAATACATTGACATCATACATGCAGTATTCCAAGGTAAAGATCAACAATATCTCAAAGGCCAAACGGGCGGAGGAGGTCAGCACAAGTCGGGCTGGCGTAACCCAGGCGTGCCTTGATAGACCAAGCATCTGACAGCCCGATGCAACCAAATTTTCCGGATCTCGATAATATATTTAATTTCGAGATGCGCAATTATCTAAATTAAAAAAAAAAAAGACAGACTTTTTTTTCTAATTTAGTTAATTCCGCAGTATCGTAGATCCCCATGAGGCAATTCACTCCGCCATAAATATAGAAACAGCATGGTGTACTACTTGGCATTCCCGCTGGAGGCTCTAATACGAACATTTCACAGTGTTCGGGTGTCAATCTGAGGACAGTACCAAGGATTCGGAAAGAGTTGGATGAGTCTAATGGTGATTACGATGGCACGGCAACTCGGAAAAGTCAATCTGATCGTTCTGATAAGAAAAGAACTCCCGATTTTGTTGTTGAGGTCCACAAACTCAACAAAGAGCCTACATCACGTGCCTTGAGGAGAGAGTTCTTCCCTGGGTCAAGAGGGTGGCTGCTGGAAGACCATATTTCTGCCAATACCCCTCTGCACCATGGCACACAAGCAGGCGAACTTAGTCATAGGCGTTAGATAATTTCTGCGACCACATCACTCCTTAAATCTAGCCACGACGCAATTCACTTGGATAGAACTTTGGAAACAGAAGCTCCAATACGAATACTTAAGAGTGTTTCGGTGTCAATCTCAGGACAGTGCAAAGGATTCGGAAAGAGTTGGGTGAGTCTAATGGTGATTACGAATGTACGGCAACTCGGAATAATCTTTCTGGTCGTTCTGATAAGAAAAGAACTCCCGAATTTGTTGGTGATTTCCACAAACTCAACATAGAGCCTACAGCACGTGTCTTGAGGAGGGAGTGCTAGCCTGGGTCAAGAGAATGGCTGTTGGAAGACAGGACTCTGCACCATGCAGCATCTGGCCCTCTAATAGCGCAGACTACAACGCCATTGATTATCATGTCTGGGGTGCAGTTGAGTGAGAGACCAGTAAAACTCTATGTAACACCAAAGATGAATTGAAGGCAATGATTATGGAAGCATTCACCAAATTAAAGAAGGAGGCCGTGCAAAAGAGTTACAGGAGTAGTCTGGAGGCCGTTGAAGACAATGGTGATTTTACTGAATGAATTTAATTCTTAGTATTTCCAGATATTTTTGTTTAATTTTTGTAAATATATCTGTTAAAATGAAATGTCATTTTTGTGTAATTTAGATGACAATACGTAATAAATGTAGATGAAAATTAGCAGCAATACATTTTTATAACAAAATGACCAACCTTCATTTTATCTGTATTTGAAGACATACAATTACATTCAAAATATTACTTGAAGCTATATATTTGTCTTCAATATATGTAGATTTCAGCGTCAAATAGCCCATAGAGGTGTTGATATGCCACTAAAGAAAATCAAGCAACTATAATGAAATTGATTTCCTGGCATTAATATATTATCCGATATTTTTTTTAATCTTTTGGGCTCTGCATTCCTGAGTCAACATTCGCAAAAAATTGGTATGTAATGTTTCACAATAGATATAAAAATAAGACAAAACACGACGCAAGAGTTCATCCACCGTTCAACCGGTGGCTGGGGATTACGCCATTTTTTTCTACCAGTAAAGCGGTGGTCAGGGCTCAAAGTTTTAAAGAAATTAAATTGTATTCCAAAATATAACTTCAATATATAACACACATATTACAGCCTCTTATAACAATGTCACACAAAGATGTATATGCAAAAAATCTGAGTATCATTTACCATGTATTCAATTGTGAAAGCAGAATAACATATATCATATTTTTATTACTTCAAAGCCCCCAAGAAAATTAAATGTCGGCATTAAATGACTTATACGATATTGGTGTGCCGTTAAAAAACAACTCAAATCATACCCACAGCGTGGTCTTATGTATGAAAAGTAATCACTTTCTATAGACAAACATAACTATTTCAGCCATGCGTTCCTCAACAAATTTAACCCCTCTGCCTCAGCTGCTGAGTCAAAATTCACAAATAAGTATGTAATGTTTCTCGGTAAAATAGTTACAAGTTTTTACCCACCGTTCAAGCGGTGACTGGGCAATAAGTCATTTTCTTTACCACTGTTAGCTGGTTATTACGTCATTTTTCTCTACCACCGGTAAAGCGGTGGTCAGGGCTCAAAGGGTTAAATATCGTAGTTGCACCTGAACATGGGACAAAAATAATAAATCTCTCTGGGCACTGAATTTCTGGGAAGCTTCAGGGTGCTCGGATTAATTCTAGACCTTCATAGAATGAAATTTCGTGACCTCTTCAGTCCTACCGATATATATTTAAAACTACATTCCTAAACAATTTTAAAATTCGCAAATAATTGGTAAGTTAGGTTTCACGGTAGGTATAAAAAATAGTTACAAGTGTTTACCCACCGTTCAACTGGTATTAAGTCATTTTTTTCTACCGCTGTTTAACCGGTGGCTGGGCATTACATCATTTTTTTCTACCACCGTTCAACCGCTATCTGGGCACTAACTCATTTTTTCTCTACCACCGATCAACCGGTAGCTAGACATTTAGTCATTTTTTCTCTACCACCGATCAACAGGTAGCTGGGCATTAAGACATTTTTTCTACCACCGATCAACCGGTAGCTGGGCATTAAGTCATTTTTTCAATACCACCGATGAACCGGTAGCTGGGCATTAAGTCATTTTTTCTCTACCCCCGATCAACCGGTAGCTGGGCATTAAGTCATTTTTTCTCTACCACCGATCAACCGGTAGCTGGGCATTAAGTCATTTTTTCTCTACCACCGATCAACCGATAGCTGGGTATTAAGTCATTTTTCTCTACCACCGATCAACCGGTAGCTGGGCATTAAGTCATTTTTTTACCACCGATCAACCGGTAGCCGTCATCACCACCGATCAACCGATAGCTGGGTATTAAGTCATTTTTCTCTACCACCGATCAACCGATAGCTGGGCATTAAGTCATTTTTTCTCTACCACCGATCAACCGGTAGCTGGGCATTAAGTCATTTTTTCTCTACCCCCGATCAACCGGTAGCTGGGCATTAAGTCATTTTTTCTCTACCACCGATCAACCGGTAGCTGGGCATTAAGTCATTTTTTCTCTACCACCGATCAACCGGTAGCTGGGCATTAAGTCATTTTTTCTCGACCACCGATCAACCGGTAGCTGGGCATTAAGTCATTTTTCTATACCACCGTTTAACCGGTGGCTGGGCATTACGTCATTTTTTTCTAACACCGGATAAAGCACTGGTCAGGATTCAAAGTGTTAACAAAGGATACAGTTTGAAATCTGTGAGTGTTTCTCTGAAAAGATTGCATGACTTTAGGCAGTTTAAACTTCGTTTAAAACGCGCTTTCGTCTACTTACAGCCATTTTATCGAACCCAAGAATAAAAGACGGAAAACTAAGTGTTTTTAAAAGCAGAACTTTCTAATAAGAAAAGAAATGATTTAAAAATAAACGCAGTAAATGAGAGAAAAAAAAACCCAACGCAATGACTTAAGAAAGCGGTTTCAAAATATTAGTCTTTATTTTTATGATATAGACATGTTTTTCTTAACTTGGATTTACCAATCGCGAAAATGGTCAGATGAACAACTAAAGAATGAGACACTTCGCACGAAAACTTTTTTTTTCCAATTTGTCATAGTTTCCCCCTACCACCTAAAAGTATTATTCATATACAACTTACACAAATCAGATTAATAGATATTCAAAAGCGGGAAGTGTATCTATCGACATATTTTAGGCATGTGTGATTAAAAAAAAATTAGACATTATGTCTACTTATTTTTAATAAAATCCGTTCTTACTCACGGATAACCTTCACTGTATTGCAATTAAATGATGTAAAATATGTGCTATAACTATGAAAATCGTTTTTATTTCCCATTTCCCAAGTACTTTGGATCTTCTTCCGCGATCATCTTCAGGGATGTACGTAGTAATACAAAACTGTGTGTTGTTTACGGGTGCAAGTAGTAACAGAAAACTGTTTTTTGATATCCATTATTGATTTTTTTTCTTTTTGCTTTCAAATGCAAAGATTGGCAATCATTATGAATGGATTTTGTTAAAAATAAGCATGATTATTTGCTACCTAAACACACAAATATATATGCATATATACACAAAAACTTTCATGTTTCAATACTATGATTGTATTCCTTCAAGCGATGGTGATTAAATGATTTATAAGGAAATTTAAAACTAAAGTGTTACGTTTTTTCCAAAAGTTGAATTGGTGGGGGACGTATGGTCAGAATAAAAACTTTGCTTTATATATATATATATATATATATATATATATATATATATTGTTTATACGTTATTTTTTATAGATACAAACATTTAAGTAATTCTCTGTTTATAATAACCTGTATTAACATTTACCGGCCTGAATGTCCGAAAAATTTTCATAGAAAATATTCGTCCTTCTACAGGAATCGAACCTGTATTCTATACGGAACCGTCATATAGCCTGACGTGCCTTAACCGATTGAGCCACATTTGTCTATTTCATTATAAATATATTTGCTTAAAAAGATTCGCCTAAAAAAGTATATATGTGCGTGTGTGTGATTAAATAAATTACAGACATTATGTATGCTTATTTTTAACATAATCCGTTCATACTCTCGAATAAACTTCCGTGTATTGCAATTATATGTTGCGAGAAAGGAGCTATAACTGTGAAAATCGCCTTTATTTCCCAAGTACTTTCGTATTTCTTCCGCGATCATCTTCACGGGTGAAAATAGTGATACAAAACTGTTTTTTGATATACATTACTGTATTTTTTCTTCTTTGCTTTTAAGTGCTTTATAGTTATGCACAGCGTTCATTAAAACGTGAAAAAATTATCCACTACGGAATTATTTTCTTCTGTGTTGTAATGTCATGACCATGCGAGTATTAAATACGTAAATACAAACCCTACGAGTAAGTTATTGTAGAGTGAAATAGCTATTCAACTGGGGTCATTTTGAATTTCTTTTCTATGTAATTCACTTATTTATATACGCGCTGTTATAATGAATACATTGAACTCTCTTTATGGATCAGTGTTTATACTTTATATTATTAGGATTAACTTGGATTATATATCAACTGATTATGACCTATCGAGTTCTCCGGTCATTGGCCTGTCTAAAAATAAATACGTCTAAATTCCCCTTCATCCCTGCCGTGCGCCAATGGGTAAAACCTCCATGTCCAGCCACACCGATGAGCTGCGATATAGCGAAACAGTCTGTCTGTGGATGACAATATATATATATATATATATATATATATATATATATATATATATATATATATATCAAATATGTGGTACAGTTCAATTTATATTACATGAATTATATGAATGATTCATGTAATATATATATATATATATATATATATATATTATAAATTAACTGATTTAAAATATATTTTTTCGCTGCAATATTAATGATTTAAAATTTAAAATTTATAAATTAACTGATTTAAAATATGTTTTTTTCGGTATCATATTAATGCTCTGTAAATTTACATTGAGCACTATTTTGTAAAATAAAAATAATTATAAGAACACCGGATTATATATCTTACTGTTCTTTTTTTTTATATATATATATATATATATATATATATATATATATATATATATATATATATATATATATAAATCCACATTACAACCAAAAACGTTAGCGGCACCTTTTCTTTTAATATACATACTTTTCTCTCGTTGGAACCACTACAACATATTTCTTTTTATATATATATATATATATATATATATATATATATATATATATATATATATATAAAGAAAGAAAGAAAGAAAAGAATGAGAGAGAGAAAGAGTGTTTGAGAGAGAGAGAAGGGAGAGAGACAAAGGGAGAGAATGAGACAGAGAAAGGGAGTGAGAGAGAAAAAGGGAGAGAGAGAGAGAGTGAGAGAATGAGCGAGAAAGTGATGCAAAGAGAGAGAATTAATGATTCTTACAAAAAAAATGGCCGTATCGTAAATCGCTTACCTCGGAAATTATCAGTTTTTTTCTCGAACATTTGGGTCAAGAAAATCTTGGCAATGACTGATGACAAGATAAAGGAAAGGTCCTAAACTCTTTTCCGAAGGCGACGTGAACGGAAAAGATAATGAAGGCGCTTGAATTCGCAATGCCGAAATCGTGTGAACACAGGGAAAATACATAAAGATTTACCCATCGTCACTTCAGACGCTAAACGGCTGACATAAGTATCTGCCCCTTAAAATAATGGTTCCGTCCCTAGCATCTGCGAGATGAGATTAAAAGGTAGTAACTTTTGTTCTCTTTCTCTCTCTCTCTCTCTCTCTCTCTTTCTCTCTCTCTCACTCTCTCTCTCTCTCTCTTCATTCACGTTTTTGTTTTACTATCTTTTCTCTGATTTCCTATCATTTCTAACCCCGTCTTCTTTATTTCTAGCTTTCTTTCTTTCTTTCTTTCTTCATTCATAATTTTCTTTTTCCTTCTTTCCTCTGATTATTTTATCTTTCTTTCATTCTTTCTTTCTTTCTTTCATCCGTTATTTCTTTCTTTCTTTTTTCTTCATTTGTATTTTTGTTTTTCCTTCTTTACCCTGATTATTTTTCTTCCTTTCCTTTTTCTTTAATTCTTTCTTTCTTTCTTTCATCCTTTCTTTCTTTCTTTCTTTCTTTCATTCTTTCTTCATTTATATTTTGGTTTTTCCTTCTTTACTCTGATTATTTTTCTTCCTTTCCTTCTTCCTTTCCTTCTTTTTCCTTCATCTTTTCTTTCTTTCTTTCATCCTTTCTTTCTTTCTTTCTTCATTCATGTTTTTGTCTTTCCTTTTTTACTCTGAATATTTTTCTTCCTTTCCGTCTTTCTTTCCTTCTTTCTTTCTTTCTTTCTTTCATCCTTTCTTTCTTTCTTTCTGTCTTCATTCATATTGTTGTTTTTCTATCTTTATTCTGATTATTACTTCGTATCATTTCTCTCGCCTTTCATTCTTTCTTTCTTTCATGTTTTCTTTCTTTCTTTTTTCTTTCTTTAGTTCTTTCTTTCTTCATTCATTTGCTGGTCTTTATTTTCTTATTGATTCAAATTCTTGTTTATCGTCTTTCATTTTTCTTTTTCCATTTTGGAATCGAAGATATTTTGTATATTTTTTAAAACTTTTCTTATTAACGACTTTTCCATTTATCGTTTTACTTTGCATCTTAAACAGGAAAAATACAAACACACACAAACACACAAAAACACACACGCACAAACACACAGACACAAACACTCGCAAACACGCAAACACGCACAAATACACACAAACACACAGAGAAACAGACAAACACAAAAAACACAAACATACATGCACATAAACACACAAACACGCAAACATACAGACAAGCACACACACACAAACATACAGACAAGCACACACACACAAACACACAAACATACTGACACAAGCACTCACAAATACGCAAATACGGTCAAATGCACACAAACACACGCACAAACACGCACAAAAACACACACATACATATAAACCCACAAACACACATAAACACACACAAAACACACACGCAAACACATATAAACCGACACACATAAACACACACACAAACACACATATGTGTGTGCGCGCGTGTGTGTGTGTGTTAGTGTGTGTGTGTGTGTGTGTGTGTGTGTGTGTGTGTGTGTGTGTGTGTGTGTGCCTGTTTAAAATGCGAAGTAGAGCCAATTGTCAGTTAATGTATGACTGATAATATTGTATACCGAGCGAGCATATATTCCGATAACGATGATAAATCTTTTTTTTTGGGGGGGGGGCTCCATTGAAAATCCTTAAAAATTTCGTTTTTACCACCCTCGAGTGACTTTAGGCAATATAAAATACAGTTTCTGACAATTAAAGAATGGTGCTAATACACCTTTTATCACCTGGGATATTATAGCAAGAGCCAATTCTTACAACGGAAAACGAATGTAATTTACATCTTAAATAATCGTAGCTTATTAAACGAAAGAAATGAATTGATGGTTACATGTAGGCATAAAAATAAATATCGGCTTAAATACGTTGATCCAGATTATTTTTTAATGTAAATTACGTTTTTTTTTAAAAAAAAAAAAAAACAGTTTATATAAAAAATAATATTCCCAACTCAAAAGTATTTTTTACATATATAGACAAAACCCGTTTATTATAAATGTCAAATATATATGCTTTGAATTAAATGAAAAATGGAATGCCTGTTTAATATATAACTGCGCCAACATTATGATAACCTGATATTTTTATTAAAATTTAAATTATTTAACGGTCAGTCTATACTCTGCAAATGAAGATTGTGTTGCGCGAGGGATAATATGTATATTTATTAATAAACAATATTTAAATTATATAAATATAAACAACGAAACTATAAATAATATAGCCTTGTTGTATTAGATCGAGTATTGTTTTATTAACACCAGCACTATATATATATATATATATATATATGTTAAAAAGAAGAGAAGAGAGGTGCCGCAAACGTTTTTGGTTGTAATGTGGATTTATTTAGAAAAAATATTATGCTTTATATTATTCTCGATATGATATCATGAATAAATAATGTTAAATATTCTCGATATCATATCGAGAATATTTAACATTGAACATAAGGAAAAATTAATTATTTTTAATAATATGTGGAAATCACCACTTTTACCTGAAGACGGTCGCGAGACCAGAAACACATGTCGTAAAATTATATAAAACAAAGCATAATATTTTTTCTAAATAAATCCACATTACAACTAAAAAAACGTTTATAGGCACCTCTTCTCTTTTTTAATATACATACTTTTCTCTCGTTGGAACCACTACAACATATTTCTTTTTTTTATTTATATATATATATATATATATATATATATATATATAATATATATATAAATGGACAATGATGTCAACATCAAACGGTGACAGCTTAAATGCAATTGTCAGACCATGTATTTTATTATTTGGCTTCGCTATTTATATATAAGCTGGTCAGTGGTGCATTATGCTTAGGTCAGTTGCATCATTCTAAGTGTTATTGGGTGGGCAGTAACGATTATGTTTTAAATTATTCTAGGGGAGATTGAGTGGAAATAATTGTGAACACTACAATCTCAACCCCCTTCATTTCAGTGGTCAGTCACTGCTTATCCTGCTTATCCTCATAGTCTTCATTTTCTTCTATCTATTATTAAATGCATATCCACACAACTCATTCGGTATCCCTTTTACAGGAGTGGCTCTATCCTTATCAATAAACACCAAACATTACGATAACCAGATATTTTTTTTAAATTTAAATTACGTAACGGTCTGTGCCTGAAGATTGCATTGTGTCTGATACCCTGAGGCGTGCAATCGGCGAGGGATAATATGTATATTTATTAATAAATACTTTATTTACGTCTGGCACTAGTATTGTTTGCTACTATAGTTGTATCTGCTATTACAAAGTCTCTACTACAATGAGTATTACAAAAGTGACAACGATTATTCGTTGGCATCACAATAGTGGCAACGAGTGTTTGTTGACATCAAAAAAATTATCTGCATCTTAGTGGTATTATCGCCTTGCTTGGGGTGAAACGTTTAAGAAAACTGTTCAAACTTTTGTAGCTCGGACTCTCCATCGAATCAAATCGCTCACATTTCTCCTGTATTCCAATTCCAAGGATGAAATTTCACTAAGACAGTCATTTTTTCCTTCGAGAACTGCTACTTTGTGGAAGCTACCCTGAACACTACAATTTCAACCGCTTCATCTCAAAAGGTCAGTCACTGCTTATCCTGTTTATCCTCATAGTCTTCATTTTCTTCTACCTATTATTACATGCCTATCCACACACCTTATTCGGTATCCCTTTTACATGAGTGGCTCTATCCTTATCAATAAACACCAAAATTAAAACTTTTGTAGAAGCGTGATTGCGGTGTTCCTGTGCGACGTCTGACTGAGAAATATGGCGTCGGAACAACCAGTGGGTTTGATTTAAAGCAATAGAAAGAACAGTTACTTAATTTTTTAATGTTGGATGATTTCAAAGATGAATAAGAGACACGAGATAACGGAGGTATGTTTCTACAGAAGGATGCTAAGGATACCGTGGATCGAGCGTGTGAGAAACGATGAGGTTTTAAAGAGTAATAATATCTAAATATCTCACTATACGGATCACTATATGGATTACTTTTTGTGCGAGTGTTATCGAGCAAGTACTATTAGGGCGAGTGTTATTCGAAGGCGTCGGACACCAGTATTGTTCAACGGCGTACTATTAAATTGTATTTGCGATTACAAAGTCTCTACTACAATGAGCATTACAAAATGACAACGAGCATCAGTTGCCATCACAAAAGTGGCGACGAGTGTTCGTTGATATCACAAAACCAACAAATATGTATGATCTGAAAACCTGGGAAGTCCAGGCATGACTCCGAAAGGAGTGGCATAAGACATGTTTCATTAAGTGAAAGGGTTTTGAAGACAGTAGACTGAAGTACCGCGATCAGCTTCCTCAAGCTTCGTCAAGCTCTGAAGCAGAGACGCCATCAAAATCCTACTTTAACAAATTTCATCTGCCCCTCAGTTATTAGGTGGGCGGCAACGGTTATGTTTCAAATTATATTGAGTGGAAATAATTGTGGATCCGAATGCATTTTTCTATTTTAGACAGGCACACACGTACATACAGCATCTCAAAATGCAGACACGAAAGCAAATTAACAAACAAACGAACGCAGACATAAACAAAAGGGAAAGTAATAATAAAAAATCAGCAACAAATGATAAAATAATCAACATTAAATAAGGAGTCAAAACGTTAATGACAACACTATAAAATGCCACGAAACTGCATTCGGATCAAAAATTATTTCCACTCAATAGCTCCTAGAATATTTTAAAACATAACAGTTACCGCCCATGTAAGATCCGTTAGAATAATGCAATAGACCTACTCATAATGTGCTAAGGATAGGCATAGATAAAATACAAGCTTACAATAACTGACATTCTCAAGCGGTCAGCCATTTAGCTAACGACTTCTCTCGACGTTGCTTCAGTACAACAACCGGTGTTTTAACGTGACGTAAGCCTTTGCTGAACAAGAGGGTTGATAAATTCAAATGTTTTTATATGCAAACCCACACGCTTTAAATGCAAACTTTTCTAAATCTCTTTGAATATATATATATATATATATATATAAAGAGAATCTCTTTAAATATAAATAAATCATTTTAAATATTATTTACATTATTCCGACTGTTGTCTTCATTGACATGTTCAAGAAATTTAGGCCGTTGTATTACAATACTTCATCTCAAAAATATAGACACAATTTAAATATATTTTTAAAGAGATTCAGATAAGTTCCAATTAAAAGAGTTAGACGGTTGTTTTTGCTTAGCGGTAAATCAACCTTTATATATCAAAAGATTGCTTGCTTGCATACATTTAAATGTATCAACTATAATATATATTGTTTAATATCTTGTATATATATATATATATATATATATATATATATATATATATATATATATATAT